CAAAGCGTGATAGTTATCATATAAGGTTGTATGTGACAATATTGGTTATTCGAAAATTGTTTACAATGTTCGACGGTAGCATATGCCTATCACCTAGAAACATTTTTCAACGAAGATCTCCATCACCTAGAAGTATCAATCAACCATTTTCCATCATAGGACACCTAGCATAGGACTACCGTCGAACATCATAAACAATTGTCGAGTAACCAATATTTTCACATACAACCTTATATAATAAACTATCACGCTTTGCACGGACTCTCATGCACATGCATACTTACACACACTCACATGACAAACCTACGCGAACATCAAGACACTAAAATAACAATACTTTTATTACATGATAAACATATCTACAAGTTTGGTCGAGCCAAATACATAAGTTTGGGTGAGCCATAAATTTAAATTTGGGCATCCTGATGCGTTTGGGCGATTGGAATCAAAAATTTTGCGACAAAGTACTGGCGGAGTTTTCACGATAGGAAGCTGAAATTTCGAACACAACAACTTCCGATGGGTGTGTACCTTCAGTGCAAATTTCAACTTTACATCTCTGATAGTTTTTGAACGGCAGCCTGTTAAACTTTTGGTCTTCATCCTAGCCAGTGCTACTAGACTCTATAGGCGGACTGCCGACCCCCACACCCCTCACTAAAATGGTCATAACTTCGCCAATTTTGACCACAAAGGTATAATTTTTATTGCAAACGAAAGTTTAACATGTCTTCTATTTATTTCAGTCGAAAACAGAAATTCGGATTTTTGAAAATGTTTCGAGAAAGTCGACTTTGAAGTTTCACTCGAATTTTCAAGAGGAAAATCGCATATTTTTGGGTTTAGGGAAAAAGTTTGAGACCACAAGTGCTGTAACTGACAGAGTTTTCAAGATAGGAAGCTAAAATTTCGAAAACAACAACGATTTGGATGGAGACTGAGACTGCTGGTCCAAAACGCACAGAAGACACATGGGACACATACAAAAACAGTTTGAAAACCACTGATTTAGTTGAACTTAATTGACAAAGTCCAATACCCTGTGACTGTAAAAAGGTCAGCTACAAATACGAAAGCATAAATAGATCATGTACGATCACAAAATAGTAAAATAACGTTCTTTCAGCAATTTATATTATTTTTTGCTCTAACCATACACGAAACATTTCTATTCATGAAATTTTGAAAAAATCCAGTCTATAAATGGACAACCATGTAGCGGCACTCTTGTCAAATTGTTCTGAAGCAAACCATCTGAATAACCACATTATAATATAAATGGACACCAGGAGTTATGACAGCTGGCAATCATGTAGAACTAATTTGATTCTAAAACATCGCATAAATATAATGCTCAGTAAGAATATCATTGCTTAATATAAACCAATTCAGGCGAGTTAATTCTGCATAAAACAATATCATACTGTTAAAATCATGCTGTCCGAAATTTTACCATTTTCAACAATATCGGCATGTTGCTTTACAAGTGAACATAAATGATATTATCATAAGTATCCTTTAGTTTGTTGAAGTTAAAGATAATATTCCACGACAAAATTTAGGTGTTTTCCATGCAAAAAATAAATCTGTAATGAGCGGATCGTGGAATCTGATAAAGTAAATCAAAATGGCGTCGAAGTGAAGGATTTTAATAGACAATACAGGATTGAGCGAAACTGTTTTTCGATATCCCTATCATTTGAAATTATGGCAATTTTTTACTTACAGATGTATATAGTGAGACAAACACCAAGTCAATTTGTACCAATTGTACATCAAATGCATTCATAGAATAAGAATGTAGACTAATATGTGAACAAAATACCAACACATTTATTTTGAAAAACAATGAAAATGTCTACAATAATATCAAGAAATAATATGTAGGATGAAATTGATTGCTAGTGTACATTTCCTCAAGTAAAGCAATCTGAATCCATGAAAAGAAGTGAAAAAACAAAATTGTTACGTTAGGAAATTTCTTCCATCTGAATCTGTCTCTTTAATCATTCATCATGAAGAGATAATTTTATCAAATACTTCAGAATGACAATTTTTTAAATATTTTTTTTTCTATTGAATTGAAAAAGTATATAATAGACAGAACTAAAACTCAATCGTCATTCGAGGTAATACAGAAATACTTTAACCATCAAATATGAAAATTTCAACCGTTATTTTGTTGGGTCTCCTGGTTTTAGCAGCTGTTTCTACTGCATCTGCTGGAAGTAAGTATTCAGTTATTACTGTGAATTAGTTTGGTTATTATCCCAAAAGTTATTATAATTAGTATGTATTATTTACAGTGTAAGTAAGTCTTCAATTATTATCATATAATTTATCGAAATGCATTTAATTTTGTTTATCGATACCGGGCTAAAAAGTGATAAGGATTGTTGAACAATTTCAGCGTGTGTCTCTTTTCCGACATAGTTGAATAGGCGTTTTTCTCGTACAGTATTTCTTTTGTTGAAGGGAATGGTGTATCAATGCTTGAAATTTACTATTCCAGGTTGTTGTTATAAATGTAAACAAAGAAATGGTAAATGTGTTGGCAGTGCTCACCAATGTTCTGGCGGTAGTAAACCACAATATGTTGGCTGTCCAACTGCTGATCCCACATGGTGCTGTGTCTGAAAATTAGAAGCATGAATCCAATAAATCAGCCTTTACAAGCATTCGTTCTTGTTCCATTTTGTATATCAATACTGATATTTCCCCCGTTGCCTTGCCGATCGCCACTGTCCTTTCAGAATTGTATTTTGGCACATTTTGGCTCTTATATCGAAATATCAACCCTTCATATCATTTTGTTGACGTCAAACTGTTCTTTCTTTACAGATGCGTGTTTGTACAACTAGCAAACGTTTGAGAATATGAAATTATTGGACTCCGTTCTTCCCTAAGAGTCCCCCAATGTGCATAAAAGTAAAATCTTAAATCTGAGCACTTTTCTTGCGGAAAAGTGCCAAAAATCTGTTTGTCATAGAGAAAGCTGAAACGCCCAGTACTTTCAAAGTAAAAGAGATACGAAATCGCCGTGGGTGGCATTGGAAAGCTACATGTATTCACCTGAGGATAGAGAATCCACGCTTCTCTAAGAGTCCCTCAATATTCATAAAAGTAGATTCTGAACTCTTTGGAATTTCATGTCTGGGATTGCAATTTCGTTCAGATTTTCTGAAAAAAAATAGTCGTTTAGTGTGCAGTGGCAATCAAGCGGATTATGATAAAATTCAGTAGTCTACTTTCAGTTTGGCTAGTTCAAGATTTTCTTAGTCATGATCTATTTTATTTTCGTCCAGAAACTATGCATTGGTCAGGCTTTCATGTGACATATTGGAAAGTTTTCAACGAGATTTCTGGAAAAAGTTATAGAAGGTTGAATTTCAAGATTTAAATGGCAATAAGAATGAGTCGGTCCTGTCTAATTTTGTCAAAAGTGATGATAGTTATCTCCCTTGAAGTAGAGAACACTGTTCTTGTATTTTTTTTACGAAACTATGGAGTTTCCTATAATTATCTTATTTGCACCTATTTAATGTTTATTTTATTCGCATGTTACAAATAACATTTTTAAAGAGTCAGTTATGCACGGTAAAGATTTTTGCTAATATATTTGTCCACTAATTATCACTATTCATAGTGATCGTGTATAATCATTATGGATCATGATGACTTATAATTATTTGATCATTATTAACATTTTTGACTATATTTTTATACATCATGATTCTTTATGATCATTTGATAATCGATTATGATCATCTATCCCTATAATTAACCTTGATTAACCTTTGAAAACTTAAGTTAACTTTAAACTTCGACTATTATTGATCTTGATGATATTAATAATCGCGAGCATTTATGATTACTATTCATGATCGTTTGTTATTAAGTTTATTCATCGTGATCGTTTACGGCCTCTATTGATCACGATCATCTTTGAACATCGGTTATCGTGATCAATCATTGTAGATTACGCGTATACCTCTGCGGAACACATGATGCCGACTCCCAATTCAAACAACATAGCCAATGTTGCTTTGTTGACATATTTTTAAATAATAAACCACACAAAATAAACAGATACAAATTATTTTAATAGAAATATAATAGAGACTGAAAACCACTAAAATCCGCATCACTCTTTCGCCAGGAATTTTTTCATTAAGTTATTCACTACATCTGGTTTATCCATCTGAACCCAATGGGAAGCATCTTCAATATATTCAATTTGTAGATTATCCACATATTTTTTAGCCAGGGGTACCATTCCCGCCTCCAATGCCCCATCACGACAACCCCATATAAATAAAGTTGGGGACGTGATCGTCTTCAAACCTTGTTTAGCTGTCAAAGGTGTATGGAACATTGCTCTAATATAGTTCAAACTTCCCGTGTCACAGCCTGAAATGAAACCAAATTAAAGAAAAACTTTTATATATCCAGCCTTAAATGAAACCAAATTAAAGAAAAACTTTTATATATCCAGCCTGAAATGAAACCAAATTAAAGAAAAACTTGAATGAATGAATAAACGAATGCGCCACATACCGTCTCTTGAAAAGGAATACTTGTAGGCTTCCATATCTTCATCTGTTATTCTAGATTTATCCACTACCCCCATTCTGTTACTCCTAAATATCACTGATAGTCGATGGTAATCTGCTAGTTTAAATATAAACTCTGGTATCCATGGTATCAGGAAGAAAAACATATAGCTAAAATGAATAATAGAAATATTCATATTTCAGATCCATATTGGTAACTGGAAACTTCCGTCTAAATATATAAGCCCAACTTCCAGGCCAGTGGGTAACGAATAAAATGGATTGCCCCCCCATGAAAAAATTCTGACAAGCGATCTATTTGTTTTCTTCAAATAATCACTATACCAGATTGTCCCTCTGGATATATTACTTGCTATTCCCAAACCATCAAGTCTGGCTACGGGCATGCCAACTTAAGCTATTTTTACCGACGAAAACATCCGACCTTTGGAAGAATGCGTAGGACGAAGTGTCATACAATTTTCCAAACCGTTGTTTTTATTAACTTCGATTAATATAAGGAAAATATTTTTAAGTTTGTAATTAGAACCCTTAATGCAGACATACGTACGTAGACTTTTTAAACTGAGCTAAATGTGACGTCATGTACTTCTGGAAAACAGCAGGATGAGGACAATTCATGATGATCAATTTACTGACCATATGTGGGTATTTTGCTGCAAAAGACCATGATATAGCTCCTCCCCAATCATGGCCGACCAAAACGCACGAGTTATAACCTGAAATATATTGGCAATGACATTACGTGTTACTGGTTTGCAGCAGACGAAACACTAAAACCGACGTTCCGTTTACTACAGGCTGTGCACGTCGAAGATCCCAGGGCCTTGTTGATGAAAAATGGAGGCCAATACCATTGTCTACACAGTTGTTACATGTCTGCAAAAGCCCTTTTCAGAGCATAAAACCAAAACTCAATTTCAGTTCGATTCAATATTAGGGCGTACGCTCAACGGTGCCCCGTTCCTGTTCATCATCACGTTGCAACTAGAAAGCGTTACCTAAAGCAGGTATCAGTTGTTTCAAATCTTCCACCATATTAGTAACAGCATAGTTCTTGATGCCAGGTGGTTTATCCGATTCTGAATAGCCTCTTTGGTCCACAGCCACAACACTACAGAAAGTTAGTAGTAAAAGCTTTTTTAGGCATGATGTTAGTAACAAATTAGTAAATTCAAGTGTTCACAAGACATGGTCTTATCTGTACGCATAATTCAGGTGCGGATAAGCTCTCCATAAAGTTACAAATTGCGCCATTACCCATATAACTCCATGTAATTGGTATTACTCTAATTGCTCGCTTACCATTTGGGAACATCAGATACCACTCTGCGTCATGATATGTCAATGCAGTAGACCAACATTGAGCGCCAATTTATTTACTAAATATTTAAAAGAAAACTTACCGATAATCTTTGGCAAACTCCTTTAATTGAAAACGCCATGAATACCAGAATTCGGGGAATCCATGAAGCAACACCATTAATGGTTTATCTTCACTACCATTAACAACATAATGAAGTCGCACATTCTGAAACAATATTCAACTATTAGAATTTCGTCTCCAAGAAAATGTGGACATATGTTGCCGTTGACTAAATCGTCGTCTATTCGTTTAACTCCATTGATAATATGATTATAATAATATAAAAGCAACAGTTTCTGTCTGATGTGGTTGCAACTTGATATACAATACACTTATTCAGAATGAGTTTTTGAGTTATCGCTCTTGACTTAATCAAAGGAATGTAAAATAGATAGATTTATTTTCTTTCGGTAAATTTTTTGAAATTTAGTAATTGATAAATTAAAAATTGAAAATAATTGTTGCTAAAAAGCTTAAAAAGTAGCTATGGTCATTATTTATTATAAATGATGAGGTGTTCATCCAATCCTATTATTATCATTATTTGTGAGTTCGATTTTTTGAGTTATCGCCCTTAACTTAATCAAACGCATTGATAGAAGGTATATTTTCCTTTTTCGAAATTTTTTGAAATGTGGTATGATAAATAATGAACGATGAACAACAAAAGTTGCTATTGTTATTTGTTATAAATGATGAGGCATTCATTTATTCGATTATTATCATTATTTGTTCTGAACGATACAATCATATATACGATAAAGTCCATTATATTTTCAAGTAATGTATGTAGATAATGCATACAATATACATGATGATCTGGTCTATATAATTTCAATAACAGTGAAATTTTTTTATATTGTAGTTTCAATATTTAATTATTCTACCAAGAGTGGTCTGGCTGATCGTGTTTATTTTTAAATTCCTGCCGTAGGGCACTAATATCTAAAAGCTGCTTAAACTTCGATTCTTTTTATAAAGGACAACAGAGGTCGAAAGTTCAAAAATTGGAACGACTTTTAAGTTATTGTATTTATAGAAATATCACGTGAGAGATAAATAGAAAATTCTACCTCTAAATGAATGAATTGGTGGGTTCCTAAACTATCATCAAACAAACATGATGGTGGATCAATTCGATCTTTTCTGTTAAAAGCTGTCTTTGGATTCCGTACTATATACCACAGGGCTCTGATACAAGCTATAGCCGCAATAACGCTACCTATAGAATAGGCTAAAACCAGTCGTATTGCCCTGTGATTTAATATAGACATTTTAACTTGATAGTGTCCAATACAATGTCCTCACTACACATGCGCATACACAAAGATAATATAAATGATGATAAATGTAGTTTTAATAATAAGACAGATAACAAATCCAGTCTTTTAAAAATCTTTTACACGTATTATTTTATCACCAAGTATATACAGAACATACTTTTAGCCTATTTGTGATATATTTTGTGGCTTATATATTTAAAGCTTTTAGAAACTGAAAACTTTAATTAATTCCAGTCGCCTACGGTCATTTGTCATCGGATTGTCTGATATTCGAAAACAGGAAAGACTGGAATAATCATAGTTAGAAAAGACATTGAAATGTCGGTGCACATGTTTGTCAATTTGTCCATTGAGACTTTAAATGTAGAAGGTCATGTTTGATTTTGCAAGTTTGCGAATGCCATTTTTCGATGCTTAGCGCTTTTCGACGCAGTAACAGAGTTAGGGCCCTTGTACCAAAAATGTTGTATTTTCTATTGTTGTCAACATAGTTTCATGAAACGTGGTAATAGAGATACAAGCTAAGAATGAACATAAAGAATGAAATTTGAGTTTCTGAATTTTAAAACAGAGTTATCACCCTTGGCCTAGAATTTTGAAAATGTTCATTCGATTTTCGACTTATTTTCATAACACTTTTAAGAGGTAACTTATACTAAAATTTAAACAGATTTGATGTGATTTGAGCGCTTTTATCGGATTAACCCCAACGAAAAGTGACAAAACTAAACAAACCATTTTAAACACAATTCTGAAAATGATGGAAAATTTGACAGAGACACCCTTCTGGGTTGCCACCTTAAAGTGTATTGCTTCAATAACATTTTACAAGACTACATTTATTTGTCAACATCGAATCCTAATAACTGAACTTTCCGGTCTCCTTTCGAAACCAAACTTATTCTTCAGAGATTGAAATCATTTGAAATCGTAATGTAAGAACCATATCTGTCAATCAAAATCTTGTACATAATTTTCTACACGACAAGCTTTAATTAAATTGGATATTGCTTTATGATTACTTTTGTTCGTAACCTTGTAGACTTAAAGACTGCCTTAAGTTTTCAACAAACTTAAAAGGATACTACCTCTAAAGGTGCGGGCACACGAGCGGCCTTGGTCGGAGATATTTGTCGCCGATTAGAGTCTTGTCAGGAATACCCGCACTTTTAGAATGGACATATAAGTTAAAGTCTCAAACTTGGAAAACAAGTACCATGACTAAAGAATAGAATCTCTATATAAAACGATATATCTATTAAACTAAATATTTCGAAATTATGTTTCTAAGAATGTTTCAAAATTACTTATTTTAGTGGATTATTATTTAGTTTTACAGATTTATTGGATTATAGAGAGATTCTGTTGTATAGTTATGACACCAGGTAAGTCCACTGATGTCTAAAGACATCAAGTTTAAAATAATTTTGGTCATCCTAAGACCCTGATTCCCAACCTTGGGTATTTTCGCCCCCTGTGGGTGTGGCATTAGGGTGCCGGGGGTGTGGCCAAAAGGTGTAGGAGAAGAATTTATTTTGAGTTGAGAGAGCACTTCATAATATCATCACATGCTGCAAATATGGATGAAACAAATTTTTTGGGGTGTGAACGTCCACGTGATTGCTCCAGAGTTGTGAAGGCTAAAATAGGTTGGGAACCACTGCCCTAAGAGGAAGTACCCCTTTAAGTCTTCTTGTCTTCTAATTATTTCATTTTTTCAATTGATAGAACTCAGTTTCAGCGATCAATAACAGAATATCTAGAATGGAAAGAAACTAAATTTGTCTATATATCAATTCAAAATTCATTAAAACTTTTCGAAATGGGATACAGACCTAAGAATTTTGAATCAACGGAAATGGCATCTACTGGTCATATTTCTAGACCGTCGTAGGCTAGTGTATTAATGTCTTCTTGAATTACATTATGATCACATGTAAGAAAAAAGAGCATTCTATGCAGTAGTGGACTTTTAATGAACTCCCTCCATCCTTTATTTTCTCGAGAAAGTAGTTTATTTCTCTTTAATCAAGTAAAAATAAATCACAATGCGGGTTAAATTAATTTAAATTATTTCATGATATCGTTTATGTAAATGACACATGTTAGTTTAAAGTGATAATACGTCTTAGAATGAACATAAAATTTAATTCGCAAGAATGGTCAAAATTGGAAAATTCATATAACTAAGTAATTATTGAAAAACGCTTAATTATAATATGAAGCGTTTTTCAATAGTTAATTGCATTTTTATTAAGTTTTTGGGATTTATCGGATTATATAAGAATCCTGTTATGTTATTTATGACACCAGGTATATCTACTTTTATGTTTATTCTAAGACGTATTATCCCTATAAAGAGGGGATTCATGCCAATTCATGTTGCTACGCTCGGCAATTATAATCTAGTACTTTCATTCAAAGAGAACACTAATTTAAAAACTTTATCAGACGTTGTCGTCACGCTTATAACTTATACCAAGCCTATGACGACTTTAAAACGCTCAGAGCCAATTTTCCATCGACATAGCAGCGCGATAAGGACGCACTATGAAAATTCATCTTCAATAACTTAAACCCACAACAGTCACATAAATTTTCTTAAAAACCTCTTCTTTTGAATTCAATATTACTGTTTAATAATCCAAACATTTTGACCCAATGTCAGTTGCAATGGAACAATTAAACAGCTTCTTCGACATCAGATAATAATTAAATGTGCTACTAGTATTGCAGGTTAAATTCTATCGCCTTTAAAAGCGGATAATAAGAAAACTTTGGGCTTAAATGTAAATTTAAAGATAGCTGTTTCTTCCAAATATGTCAATTTAAGTCAATCTGTTTTCAGACAAATTGATTTATAGTAACAGTTTTTAACTAGTTTATCAATCATTCTCTCGGGGCTTAAATTGATTTACCACTGCCCTTGTGGAAACAAAAGTCAAATGGAACTAAACATGATCGAGTACGTAATAATGGCGTTGTCAGATTTTTTCGTCAAATTGATTTTTTCAACCAAGAGACATGTTCGAATTAGGGTAGAGAATCAAAATCATGTATCCATCAGTTCTGAACCCTTCGAAAAAGTACACCTTGGAGAAGTCATGATAACCGCCCTCCCCAGTCATCGTAAAGGGGGTTTAATATTATGTAAGAAAAAAACTCATCTCCCGAGGTGTTGAAATTCCCCATATATCAGGGTCTGTTTTTCTGACTCTACTCCAGTCGACAACTGTCAAAATATCTATCAACGGCTGGAATAGAGGCAAGTATTTCGGACTATTATGATCCCAATGTTTCCTCGAATTTCTCTCACGTGACATGGGGGTCGGGTGACTGACGTTAGAAGCTTACGCCCTAATAACTAATGTTTACACTTACTTTGACGATGGATAAAAACGATTCATTCCACATAACGAGTCGTAGACAATTCATATCAGGGCAAATTGTTACCGTAGTATTCCAGAAATGTCACTGGAAACAGTCATCCAAGAAGATAATTATTAGGTCTGCAATCTCCACTATCATTAAGGGAAGAACCGTAAATAGTAAAACTTGGAGGCATTTCATTTCATTTTAAAAGCTATTCAAATAAGGTTGAATAATGTATCGCTTTCTCGATATACAGAGCAATAATGTATAAAATAAAAAAAAATGGAAACTCATAAACCATTTCTATGTTAAATACTAAACAATAACAAAAATTAAAATTATCAATTTAGAAGCTATGAATATCAATGATCCTTTTAGATACAATTGTAATTAAAATCACTCTATTGAAACAATAATTATTGATGAAAGACGATGAAACCGAACATACCACTGTGATTGTTGATATCACTTGTATTTAATAATTGGCAGGCGATTGTATCTTACATGATTGTATCAGCTTACAGTAGCAATTACGTCTTAATAGAACAAGATCGATGTCAATGAAAAATCAACATGGACTCGGAATACGATCAAAATATATAGTATCCCCGTCACACTGGAAAGGCGTTTTGACTGCGTTGCTAATGTGACGGTTAATTGGTTCAAAGCGATCGGGAACTGATAACAAAATCTTGGCGTTTGTTTTTTTAACATGTCCTTATCACAGTTGGACATATAAGTGGATTATAATTGATAAAAAAAATATTGATGTGAAACAAAAAAGTATGTCAATGACACAGCGATGTCCCTGAAGTGCAAAACACAAAACCAAATTGCTTTATGTGAGGCGATAGGAATGCATCCGCATCTCATAGCTTTTTAGCCCATGAAGGCAGTATTCTTGCTAAGTAAAGTAACAGACATAACGTAATATTTTCGATAGAGGGTGGGGGAGGGGGTTAGTTAAACCTTCACAAAACTGCTCAACATTTCATGTTTTGGCTTTTTTATTTTAATCTATTATCTAGGGAGGGGAGCCCCAATTGGCCCCTATGGGCTTTCGACCTTGTTGTGGCGTACATTCTACATTGCTGTTATACATGTATTATGTTCTTCATTATCGGATAGGACTTTTTTCCATTAGTCTGATGTTTTCTACAGCATCCAAAATGAAAGTCTGAACGGAGTGGTTTTTCGCTGGAAGGGACTTTTCTGTCTTGGTCTTACTTCATCTTATTTGCCTGATATCATTCAAAACTTTTAATGGCGTTTAAGAAATCAATTTCTCAATCAACATGGAATTCCAATTTAGATAAGATATTTATTTCGGTATTTTGAGATATATAAGGAAAACACGTTATTTATAATGGAAATTTTGTGTTGCAGTCCATTGCCTTGGGTGATTGAAAAGTTTAATTATATTATCATCATTTGATGTACATTCTTTTCAGAGCTTGATAACAGGATCAGATTCTACATATTTAATTGTATTTTAATCTACAGCTTTTGTTTATTTTCTTTTTTTGGGTGGTAACAACATCATCACTAGTCTTAAGACTGAACAGCAAAAACAATAACAATAATGAGGTACGGTGGTCATATTGAATGAACGAATGGAA